TATATATATATATATATATATATATATATATATATATATATATATATATATATATATATACATACATATAATAAAAGGAGAGACATATATATACATTTATATATATCCTTTTACTATTTTATCTATATTTATTTTATCTCTTTTTAGATGAAGTTGGCTCTGCAGGAGATAGCGAGAAATACAAAAGAGAGAGCATCCACGCAGGCAGGGGCCCGCCTGCTTCTCCGCACTCTACACGGCCAGGGGGATGTCTCAGCAGCAGCAGCAGCAGCAGCAGCAGCAGCAGGAGAAGCAGCAGCAGCAGCAGCAGCAGCAGCAGCAGCTGCTGCTGCTGCTGCTGCAGGCAGTTCTGGTGTACAGACACCTGAGCATGAATGCAGGGTTTACGAGGATTGCAAGAGAGGCGGAGCTGCATCATTTCCTTTTTTCTTTTCTTCGTTTGCTGCTGCTGCTGCAGCAGAGCAGACGACAGCAGCAGCAGCAGCACTGCAGCTGACCCTCGATATTCTTCTTAGCTATATTCTACCAGCAGCAGACGCAGCAGCAGCAGATAATACAGCCCCCACCGCATGCATGCAGCAGCAGCAACAACAGCAGCAGCAGCAGCAGCTGCTGCTGCAGCAGCCACATCCCGCGTCGTGTGCTTACCCTTAGGGGTTTTTGTGAATATAATTTTTTGTTTTTTCTGTTTTTTGTTTTTTTTGTTTTTGTTTGGAGACAAAAATAAACGAGGAAGGAAAACTGACGAATTTGAGTCGATTTATTATTATATATTTTATTTTATTTTATTATATTTTATTTTATTTTATTATATTTTATTTTATTTTATTTTATTTTATTATGTTTATTGTTTGCTGTTATAAATAAATTATAGAAATAATATATTATCCAGTAGATAGTAATATTGCTGTTATTTATTATATATTTTTATATTTATATTATACTTTATTATTATATATATTATATTATATTATATTATATTATATTATATTATATTATATTATATTATATTATATTATATTATATTATATTATACAAGACTATACATAATATATAATTTATGTTGTTAGCGCAAATTGAAAAAAAGAAAAATTCAAAAGAAAGACAAAAAGACGAAGAAAAAATTAAAAAAAGAAGACAACAGACGCCCTCATATGGCTCCCTGCTTTCAAATACACGCATGCATGCATGCATGCATACACACATGCATGCATGCATGCATGCATGCATGCATGCATGCATGCATGCAACTAGATGGATTGGCTTTCATGGTTGTGTGTAGGGTGGGTGGAAAGTGTGTTCTGCTACGAAGGGGTAATATACCTCCGGTGTGCTGTTGGGGATTTGCTGCTGCAGCGGCAGCTGCAGCAGCTGCTGCCGCTGCAGCTGCAGCTGCAACGGCCCCTGCTGCTGCTGCTGCTGCTGCTGCTGTTGCTGTAGAGGCAGCTGCCCGTGCTGCTGCTGTTGATGCAGTTGCTGCTGTATCTGCTGCATCTGCTGCAGTTGTTGTAGTTGCTGCAGATGATGTAGCTGCTGCTGTAGCTGCTGCTGCAGTTGACCTTGCTGCTGCTGCTGCTGCTGATGCATCTGTAGTTGCTGCTGCATCTGGAGCGTCAGGTGAAAGTTTGCTGCTGCATGCATCTCAGCAGCAGCAGCCTCACGTCTTCGTGCTGCAGCATGCGTGGCGTCTGCTGCCCCCCACGATGTCTGCGTGGTTGCTGCTGCTGGCACTGCAGCAGCAAAACCTCTGCTGTGTACAGCAGCAGCAGCAGGGGGGTAATGCCAATGAGAAAGAGAAGAAGAAGAAGGGGGGGGAGGGTACCGAACAGCCCAAGGCGGCAGCTGCTGCTGCTGTTGCTGTTGCTGCTGCTGCTGCTGCTGGAGCTGCTGCTGCTGCAGCTGCTGCTGGTGCAGCAGCTGCTGCTGGTGGTGCTGTGCGCCTGCATCGCTGAGGTGTACAGGCAGCTGCTGTGTCTGTACAGCTGCGGCGGTGCTGTAGTGTGCTGCAGGCAGCTGCAGCAGCCGCGGCGTGCTGCTGCTGTATATTATTTCTCCTTCTGCTGCTCTTTGAGGGTAATGAAGAGAAACAGGATTCATTATTTTACTCTTTATATCGTCAACAGGGACTTGCAGCACGCGATGCTGCTCCCTTGCTGCTGCTGCTGCTGCTGCAGCTGCCGCTGCTGCTGCTGCTGCTGTTGCTGCAGATGCTGTTGCTGCCTGCCGTTCAGCCGGCAGCTGTTGCATCCCGATCCCGCTGCTGTTGCTGCTGCTGCTGCTGCTGCTGCTGTGGTGATGATGATAAGAGACGGGTGCGGCTCCACCTCCGTCTGTGTTTCTTCTTTCTGTTTTTATTCCTCCTTCTCTTTCTTTCTTTTCTCTCTGTCTCTCATCGCATGCAAACCCCTCCCCCCCCTCTAAACCCGAATACCCTAAACTCAATCGAGCAACGGGGGCCCCCCCAGGGGCCCCCATGACAAATGGGGGGCCCCCCTCTACCTGCCGGGGGCCCACCATGAACTGATGGGGGCCCCCCTCGAGCTGGGGGGGCCCCCCACTGAGCTGGTGGGGGCCCCCTTTGAAGTGGGGGGGCCCCCCCCCCTCAAGCTGCCTTGGGGGGGCCTCCTCTGGGGGCCCCGCTGACGGGGGGCCCCCCGGGGGGCCCCCTTTGCTTGCGAGGTAACTTGCAGCTACGCTGCTCGGATCGCGGCTGTCTCCTTTAGATGCAGGTGCAGCAGCAGCAGCAGATGCAGCAGCAGCAGAAGCAGCAGAAGCAGCAGAAGCAGCAGCAGCAGCATCCTTTGGCTGTCCTGGATAAAACAAACCCCACAGCCAGTTCACTGGCGCTGCTTTCTTGCTGCTGCTGTCTTCAGGTGGTGTATCGAGCTCAGCAGCAACGGCAGATGGAGGCTGCTGCTGTTGCTGCTGGTGCTGCAACAGCTGCTGCTGCAGCTGCTGCTGCTGCTGCTGTTGCTGCTGTAGCTGCTGCTTTCTTTCCACTACCTCCGAAAGGGAGGATACAGGGTTGCTGCTGCCTGCGCTGTCGGCTTCTGGCGTGGGGGGACGATCATCATCATCATCATCATCATCATCATCAGCAGCAGCAGCAGCAGCAGTTGCTGCAGCAGGAGTTGTTGCAGCAGCAGCTGCTGCTGCTGCATCGCTAGCTGGAGCCTCGAGACGCAGCGGCCTCGCTAAGCCTGTCTGCTGCGCTAGCTGGGTGATGCCGTCGATGAGCCGTCTGTACACCTCAGGCCCGGCAAGCCATCCTTTGGGTTGTTGTGCTGCTGCTGCTGCTGCTGCTGCTGCTGCTGCTGTTGCTGTTGGTGATGTTGGTGCTTCTGCTGCTGTTAACGCTTCTGTTGCTGTTGCTGCTGTTGCTGCTGTTGCTGCTGCTGCTGTTTCTTCTACTGCTGCCGCTTTGGGGGCCTCGCCAGGACCGCTGGTTGTCGCAGCAGCAGCAGCAGCAGCAGCAGCAGCAGCAGGCGGCGTTGGTTCTGCTGCATCAGCATTAGTTTGTTTATTTTTTTGTATTTTTTGTTCTGTCTGCATATCAATAACTTTTATTCGGCCGTCATCGCCATCGGGGATCTCCGCTGCTGCTGCTGCTGCTGCTGCTGCTGTTGCTGCTGCTGTTGCTGCTGCTGTTGCCCGCGTCTGCAGTTCCTCGTCGAGCTGCTGCTGCTGCTGCTGTTGCTGTTGCTGCTGCTGCTGCGTTGCTTCCGAGGTGGTGTCGCTGTATGCTGACGTTTCTTTGTTTTTATTGTTGTTGTTGTTTTCTATTTGTTTATTTTTTTTGTTTATTTGTTTGTTGCTGGCGGCGGAGAAAACGCCAAAAGAAGAAGCAAAAGAAGGCTGCACTGTTGGGCTCTCCAGCAGCTCGCAGAACGGGTCCGATACACCCCGACTCTCACCCTCTCCTGCTGCTGCTGCTGCTGCTGCTGCTGCTGCTGCAGTTGCTGCTGCTGCTGCTGGTGCTGCTGGTGCTGCTGATGCTGCATCTGCTGCATCTGATGCTGCTGCAAGGGGAGCCGGCATGCTGTCTGTGCACTGTGTTGCGGCTTGAGCTCGTGAAGGCTCTGCAGGGGCAGCAGCAGCAGCAGCAGCAGCTGCTGCTGCTGCTGTTGCTGCTGCTGCAGCAGTTGCAGCAGCAGAAGGACTGGCATCACCAGCGGGATGCTCTTGTGATACAGGAGGAAACGTCGCCTTTTTGGAGATGTCATTGCTGCTACTGCTGCTGCTGCTGCTGCTGCTGCTGCTGCTGCTGTTGCTGCTGCTGCTGCTGCTGCCAGCGACGCCGTTTCTATGCAGCGTGGTGCCCTGTATCTCGTCCTTTGCTTCTCCTCCCCATATTCCTTTCCTCACGCTGCTGCAGCTGCTACTTCTGCGCTTGCTGTTGCTGCTGCTGCTGCTATTACCAGCAGCAACAGGTGCAGCAGCAGCAGCAGCAGCAGCAGCAGCAGCATCACTTGCAGCTGCTCCCCCCCGTCTAAACAAATTAAGTATTCTATCTGCTCCCTTTGCTATTTTAGTTTGTCTCTGTTCATTCTTATCTCTTCTGCTCCTCACCACTTCTCTTGTCTTCCGAAAGCGGCGGGGGGCCCCCGCAGCGGCTCTAGAGTGGTTAAGGCTGCAAACATACTCGCGTTGCGGGCTGGTGGTTTCCATCGTTTTAGATAGGGGAGAGTGTTGCCGCTGATATCTGTGTGAGATAAAGAAGCAGAAGAACCGCGGCGGAGAGGTAGAGAAGCAGATGATGCTGCTGCTGCTGCTGCTGCTGCTGCTGTTGCTGCTGTTGCTGCTGTTGCTGCTGCTGATGTTGATGGTGCTGCTGCTGTTGTTGAGGATAAGGATAGTGATGAAGAAGATGATAAAGGAGCTATTATTGCCGGGAGAGAAGAAGAAACATTCGGCTGGTTTGTTGCTGCGGTTGTTGCTGCTGCTGCTGCTCCCCCTGCTGCTGCTGCTGCTGCTGCTGCTGCTGCTGGCTGGCTATCTGCCTCTCCGCTTTTTGTGGATTGAAACGCAGAAAAGAAAAACGAAAAAAATGACCGGGAGGGTCGGGGAGGGGCTGTATCACCCTGCTGCTGCTGCTGCTGCTGCTGCTGCTGCTCTTGTTGCTGCTGCTGCTGCTGCTGCTGCTGGCTGTCTGTACACCCCGGCCCCTCCTCGGCAGCAGCAGCAGATGGATCCTGTGAAGGTCCCTCGCTGCCATCCAAACATTTCTTCTCTCCTTCTTTACCTTCTTCTTCAGCAGCAGCTCCTGCTGCTGCTGCAGCACTCTCTGCAGCAACAACAACAGCAGCAGCAGCAGCAGCAGCAGCAGCAACGGAGCATTCTTAGTTGTCGCATCAGCAGTTCATTTGTAATAGAATCTAAAAACTAAATTTGTTTGTATATATATATATATATATGATGGCTTATTTGCTTTTTTTTTATTTTGTTGCTTTCTTTGTTTGTGTGTTTGTCTTTCTGTTTATATTTTGTTTATATTTTGTTTATATTTTGTTTTTATTTTTTATTTATTTTATTTATTAATGTGCTGCTTCCTGCTTCTTCTGCTGCTCACCTCCGTTTGTTTTCCCTTCGACGGCATGCTGAGAAGATGCAGCAGATGTGCTGCTGCTGCTGCTGCTGTTGCTGCTGTTGCTGCTGTTGCTGCTGCTGCTGCTTCTGCTGCGGCGGTTACGGTTGCCTTTGCTGCTGCCTCTGCTGCTGCCGCTTCTTTTGCTGCTGCTGCTGCGTTTTCTTCTGCTGCCCTTGCAGCTTCTATTGCTATTCTTGCTAGCGCTGCTGCTGCTGCTGCTTCTGCTGCTGCTGCTGCTGCTGCTGCTGCTAGGGCGCAGCTCATGGTGGGCTG